AAATTGCGGGGAACTCTGCAAAAAACGCATCTTCGCACGGGCAGCCCGTGCGTTGGCCAATTATTCTTCTTGGATCTGGAGCTCAATAAGCTTTTCGATGGTTGCAAGTTCAGTTGACAGATTTTGCAATATTTGGAAGTTTACCGTAACAGCGCCGAGTTTGCGAAAATGAGGGGGTTCACAGTTGCGCTCCCTTGAAATTCATACCACGAGTCGCTTCTCCAGTCATGAGAAAATTGCAGTTCGTAAAGACGACATCACGGACATGTCTGAAGATGAAGTGTCGAAATAATTATGGAGTTATGCAGATCGCTTGCTGGCTGCATGGCTATTTTCCATCTCATTTATTAAACGTACGCTGTGAAGCGCAAGGCTTGCCGGTGCAATCATAGGTTTCTGCGCTAAACTTGTATCAGTCAGGTCTTTTATTGTATGAATGATTGTTGCTTTACATTTAATTTGTGCATTTTTTATCGTAAATTACCGCAAATTTTGAAAAAGAATAAATAGCGGCGTTTTGCCCAGCTCCGACCAGCGGACGTTTGCCTGTTAAGTATTTTCACTGTTTTACACTTTGGTTTGTGCAAAAATAATCAATACGCTGTTTGGTTTCTAAGCTGCGAAATTTCCCATTAAAAATTTCATTTACCGGAACGTGAAACGCGAAAGTTCATGAAAGCTGCATTTGAAACCTTGGACGGTGAACATCGCTCTAAAATTTCAGCATTCTAGTTTTCTAGCTGCCGAATAACTTTCGCGCCAAAACCTTAACTTGTTCGTACGCGAGACTTCATTATACGTGGGAGATAAATTTTATTTTGTTAGGCTCTTGCATGGGCAGAAAACATTCTTTTGAATATACCAGCCGCCTAGCTCTTCTCGCACTCGAGATAATAATTTTCCTCGTCAAAACCTTCGCGTGGCCGTGCGTGAGACAAGGCTTACGTAAAAGTTGGATTCGAATTTACGGAGTCACACGTGGGCTGGGGACATTGCCCTAAAATTTAAACGGTTCCTGAGATGGTAATTTTCTCTACTAAAACTTTCACGGACCATATGCAGTATCCATGCGAACGAAAAAGCTAAATTTAAATTTACGGCGTCGTACTTGTGCAGGGGACATCCCCATAAAACTTTAGCTTCTCAGCTTTCGTGGTTACCGAGTTGAAAATGCTGGACAAATGCATTCGGACACATACACACACGCGAATGCACACAGACATTGACGTGAAGATATGCGTTTTATCCCGCTGTTACACAGCGCAAAACGCATAAAAGAGAATAATTTCCATTAATCGGTCGTTCACTGGAAATGACCTGGCTGTTCAGGTTCCCGGACTAGCAGTTTTTCCTCCAAAAATTTCATTTTTTCGTACGGGGATCAAAGGTATTTAGGAGGAAATTGAAATCTTTACGCCGCACATAGATGGTGAGCATCTTCCTGAAATTTCAGCTTCCTAGTTTACTTGATTTTCGAGTTAACAGTTCTCCTGTTAAAACTTCCACGTGTTCGTAAGTAAGGTTGAAACGTGCGTAAAAGTTGGTACTACGTCCCTGGAATAGCTCGTGGCAAGGGAATACACTGCCAAAATTTCGGCGTTGAAGCCTTGCCTGGTTCTCGAGATGAAATATCTGGACAAAACGCCCACGCGCACACCCATACTGCAAACATGCACAAATCCACACACCGTGGGTCACTACAATATGCGTTCTGCATTTTCATAAACGTACACAAACGCGTAGTGATTCGCTGAAGTTCTGTGAAATGAGCAACATTTCCTAGCCTACTCTGATGGATTCGGACTTTTGAGTTTTCCATTTTGGTGCCCACAAGTTCGCTGTTTTGCTTAACACATCTCCGGCACTAGCTAGTGCATTTGTTTTGTTACCGATAAATGAACAAACGTGGTGCTAAGATGGCAAATGATTTACAGTACAACTGGGATCTTTTTAAAGGCGCTGGTAATGAAAATTGTAGTGATGATATAATATATATTATATGCATATAATATATGTGATATATGTATTATATAAACACTCGAACGTTTCTTTTCTTTTAGAAAGATTCATGGTTTCGCCAACGACTGTAGCCGGCCAAAGAACAGTTGGGGCTTGGTCATGTCGATATGCATGCACGTCTAGAAGGCATCAGTGTGCAATATTGCTCTACCGCACACATCCTGTAGCATCCCTTCGAGAAGGTTCTATATTGGCGTGTTCCTGGAGTAGCTGTAGCACAGGTCAATTATTCACTGTGACAGGTTCTTCTTGAGTGGACAGGCTTCGATACGTCGTGTATGAGTATGAATTTTTGGTTACTTTTCCAGTGTAGTTTGGTGAGCGTGCTACATTTGGCGAGGGACGTAAGGTATGTATTTGCAACGTGCTACTCTGTTGCTGGCATTTATCGTGATCACGTGCCATCCAATGACCCCCGAGACAGGTGAGCAGCAGCAGCAGCAGCAGGAGGAAGAGGACAAAAGCAAGCAGTACGACGGTATGGCTCATTTCGCTACAAACACATTCAAAATATTGTAATCCTTGAGTTTTGGTAATATTAATATTATTCTTCAGTCGCTAACAATAAATGAATTGCTAACTTAAATGAATTCACACTGCGTTATCTACGTATTATTAACATACTGTGATTACTGATTGCATTAAAATTGGCAGCTATTATATCAGCTACTAACAGTACAGTTGCTGGTATTACACCAGGTCGCCTATTTTTGTCGGCCAGTGGTGGTGCGTCATGATATTTCTGTTCGATCGAGTGTGTGGTGAGTCTTCGATCAAACAGAAATTTAAAAGTAGTGCGCAGAAAGTAGTGCGATAACTACTTTCGACAAGTAAAATAATTGGCCAACGCACGGGCTGCCCGTACGAAGATGCGTTTTTTGCATGGTTCCCCGCAGT